ATAATAATAATAATTAAAATGATGTAGAACTTAATCAGATGTAGATGTAATACTTATTTTTTTTTCCTAGATGGATATGAATGTTTCACCATTGATCAATCCCCTGATTCTATAACTAAAGGTTTACAAACCTACATTGAAATGTACGCCTTCCAGTACTCCAGAAGACGATTATATTCACTGGTATATACAGAAACCAAACAAAGAACTGAAAAGAATTCTCTATACTTCAGGTCAGAATGCTTTCTATGATTATGGAAATAACAAGGAAAAATATGTTACAGGAAACAGAGGAACAGAGATTTCTCTAACAGTAAAAAGTTTAAATACTGAAGATTCTGGAACCTATTACTGTGCAGGTTGGCAGTATGATCATCACATTATTTTAAGTTTGAAAAATCTAACATGAAACAAATTTAATTAAAAAAAGTTTTATCAAATAAATTAAGCATATAACCACATAAAAAGGCCTTCCGGTATTTAAATAAAACACCTGGTATCCACTCTGCAGTCATAATGTTTTAGATCAAACCAAGTGTTTGCTTGAGTATCTGCCCCTGTTCAGATTGCATAAAATAGAATCTGTGCACGCTGAAGTAAATCACACTGACACAAGTTCAGATAAATGAAAAACTCCAGAATGTTTAATCAGGGGGGCGGCAAGGCCCTTATAAAGGCAGAAATGCATCATATGCAAAATGCAAGATAACAGAGAGAATACATCTTTAATTGGTCAAGTGTTAAGTGTCTTATCTAGAGCACTTCTTCCAAAGTGTGATGTCACCATCATCTCTGGATTTTACTCCGGATGGAGACGCCATCTTGTTACACGAGGTGTTCAGTCGATGGAGGGGTCTGTTCTAGCAGCCATTTTGAGTAAATACTAAATACAAAGTAAGTAGGCATTTTACCTTCATTAATTTCTATCCATAACAATAAAATATATGTTATATTGCATAACAAAGTATTATATACTTTGAAATTCAAATAATTATTTAGTAAATGTAAAATGTGAAAAAACTGATAAAGCAAATATAAGAGTTGGAAATAATTAACTTAAATCCCTTCCACATATGTCATGCCAAGTCTTCTGTGGCACAATATATGCAAAAGATACAAGTTAAAGTATGGCGCTAAATATTTTTTAAAAATTTATATTTACAGTAATAAACAGTGCTGCGCTGTATAATGTGAAAAAGCTCAAAACACATACATAATCCAAAAATAATAAAATGCGTTGTGCCTTTAAGATTATTTAAACAATCAAAAATTTTAAAGTGCAAATATATACACCTTTGATGTTTACATAGAAATGTGTAGTGCAATAAAACATGTGAAGAAATAAGTGCACTGAAGTGCACTGTGCAAAAACACACTATTATGTGTAACTTAGTGCAAACAAACTGGAGTGATGCCACAAAATTGAACACTATACTCACACAAGAGTATTCCACTTATGCTGCCATAATTTCTCAATGCAAAAGAAAACAGTGAAAGCTCATAGGGCAATATGCATATAAAAATAATATTAATAATGATATAAGGACACACTCACAAGTAGAGAGCAGTAAAGTATGCTTTAAACTATAGTAGCTCCATAAAGTGCATGAAGACTGAGACTGTGATAACTTTAATTCACAGTCTGTTAAAAACAGCACGCAGGCAGGTAAGATCCCTCTGTAGCCATTCCGGCTGAGCTACTGTTGTTTAGAGCAGACTACACTGTTTCTACTTGTGAGTATGTCCAAATATCATTATTAAACATAAGAGTGTGTTTTTGCACAATGCACTTTAGTGCTCTTATTTATTTCTTCACATGTTATTGCATTACACATTTGTATGTAAACTTTAAAGGTTTATATATTTGCAGACAAAAATGTTTGCAGGTAGTGTACCAATGAGAGGATACTGGGAGAAAAAATGGTCTGTAAAGTACTAAAAGTTTCTACAATAAATGTAGAAGTCTAAAGTACAATTGAGAAACTAGAAAAATAGAAAACAAAAAAGAATTTATTCATAAAATGTAAAAATTGCAAAAAATCTCACTTCGAGTTATCAAGCTCCGCATTTATTTTATCCCATTCATTTTAGGCTTCCACTATTCATTTATTTAGTGTGTAGCACTTTGGGTGATTGCTATTTTTTGCAATTTTTACATTTTATGAATAAATTCTTTTTTGTTTTCTATTTTTCTCCCAGTATCCTCTCATTGGTACACTACCTCCAAACATTTTTGTCTATTTCTACTAGGGGTTACCCCCCTTCTCTTCAGTGTACCATAGTGGGCTGTATTCAATTTGTTTTTTATATATTTGCACTTTTATAATTGTGCTTATTTAAATAATCTTAAAGGCACAACACACTTTATTATTTTTGTTTTCAGCGGCACAATAGCCAACCATTATTCTGAACCATAGCGATCTGATCCGTAGTAAATACTCATCCTGCATGATTCAAATGGGGTTGGACACTGATCAATAAAAATAAAACGTTCTTCCACTCTCAAATGAATAAAAACATTTGTTTACAAACCACTTTAAATTCACAATATAAATTACATAGAACAAAAACTTAATTTTGTATGCATGCTATTTTGTTTAATTTAACGGCTTTGTAGAAGTGAATAAATGTTTTTAAAGATTTTTAAAATTTATTATGGAAAAGTTAAGGCCAAAAGAGCATTATAGAGTCAGATAATTGTCTCCTATTTAGTAATTGTGGCTTAAAATGTCTAATTTATTTCTCAGTATCTCTCTGGTAATGTGTGAGGGGCTAACCTGGTGTCAGATAACTTTGCCAAGTGTGCTAAAGTCATTATTACTCACACACATGGCTCTTACGGTTAGGCCTTGACAGCCCTAAACTTTCTCATATGAGAGTTTATGTTCTCAGTCTGGAAATTGGTCCAATATCAAAAGAAGAAATTAAACATTTGGTTTTTTTTTTTGCTCAAGGTCAATAACTGGCTTCATATGATAACTTCACATTAATACCTCAATGTAATATTGTTTGGATAAGATCGTGATATAAGATATTTGAATAAACTTTTAAAATAAATTTTTCAAAATACTAAACTATAAAACAAAATAGATCATACATTAAAAATAGATCAATATATCAAAATGTAAAAAAAAGTTTATCCAAAAATATTAAATCATTAGACAAGGTTATCCAACAATACTAAACTGAGGCCTACGTGAGAAGTTAGTCAAAACATTCCATATTATTTAGGGTAATTGGGCGATAGCTATGGTATCTATGATGATCCTTGACTAGTTTAGGTTATTCCAACTTTTTGACTCCATTCATCTAACGGGCCCTGAAAGGAGTCTCAGCTGGTGGCCCTGCAAGGCCCGCAGTGGGCGTTGGTTGGGGTCACTAGGTTGCTCTATGAGGGTGTATACAGACACAGACACATTGTAACTGTTTAAACAGCTCAAGAAGGTCTTCGTTAACAATGTTACCTTTTTTTGTCTTGATCCGCATTATATAAACAACACAGTTTTCAAGGTTATTTATTTTTCCACATTGAATTTCTTTTTATTTAAAAAAAAGTAAAAACTTGGACAGATTGCAGCTAAGCCGAATAACCACTGGATGACATAATACATGCCTTAACACTTTAAGTTTTTCTTTCTGTAACACGAAGACGAGAATATTTGAAACATGACCCGGTTTCTGCATAAGCCATGTTTCTATTGATACATTGCAATTTTGTCTGTCATTGCAAAAATAAAGACTTTAAAAAAAATAAAAATAACTCTAGCTCCAGCTCTAGTATACTTTAGGAGTCAAATCAGTAAATTAAAACAGAAAAATGATTAGTTGGTAAATACTGGCTTGTCATTTCTATCAAATGACAGGCTATTGCTAAATGCTAGTGAGGTTTCCAGCACTAGCCCAAGGCAGCATGCTAGCTCTGGCATGTATCGGTATGCCTAGTAGTGCACTCATTGTAGGGGACAAATACAGTGATCATATGTCTTAAATGTACACACAATGACAGGGACACTAATAGAAAACAGATAGTAACCATCTCTCACAGAGATTCCAGTCTTTGGGTAACCCATCAGATAATTGGTGTCCTGTTTCTTTCTTGACCCTTCAAGCAAAATGCTTAAAATGCTTATGTAGGAAGAAATGTGATTGGTGTGATAAAACCATACAGTGATCAAATGCTTGTGGTTATCATGGAACCAGTTTCCTGGTGACAGAAGTTAATTGTGCCCAGCAACTAACCCTTCTTCCCAATATGTTCCACAATTACAGAGTGGTTAAAAGGGTAGTTTTTTATTTATTTTTGTATGAAACTGAATAGAATCACACATGGAACAACCAATAAAGAGTAATCTTTAACAACTCTCTGACAGTTGATGTAAAAGGTACATTGAGAGTCTATAGTTAGTCAGAATAACTTGATGAGAGCACTCGTGCATATTCAGGCATTGGCAGTGGATGGTCTACTTTCCTGTCCCAACCAGTGCATTTCTCTGTGAAGTACATATTGTAAGCGTAGGCTAGTATTGTTGATGAAGCTGTGAAAATAGGTGGAGCCAGGTCTTATCGAGCACTCCTCTGAAATTCATGACGAATCCATAAAAAAATTTGAAGTTGCTATCCAAACAAAAAAAATTTAGAGCTACTGTTTAAGTCCCAGAAAGAAGAATTGCGAAGCTATATTTAAATATAGCAAAAGGATATCAAGCCACAATTATTTTGTCTGTGTTTTCATGAAGCACGATCATCATCAAAACTGAAATATAAGTTCCTGTGGATGCTCAGATCAACAAAGTAGTTTGATGGTGAAGAAGTGCAGCTTATTATCAAGACAGAGACATTTCATAGATATACATGATGTTATTTCAGCACCAAGTACTCTTCGTTTTCCTCTTTACATGTATGTATTTCTTTAAAAAATGATTTAACATGATGTGGAACTGAATCATTACATGTAATAATTGCCTGTTATTTTTCCTAGATGGATATGAATGTTTCACCATTAATCAGTCCCCTGATTCTATAACTAAATTTGTTACTGCAACATCTACAGCTACATTGAAATGTACGCCTTCCAGTTCTCCACTAGACAATTATATTCACTGGTATATGCAGAAACCAAACAAAGAACCAAAAAGAATTCTCTATATTTCGGGAGAAAATAAGCTATATAGTGATGGAAATAACAATGAAAAATATGTTTCAGAAAGAAGAGGAACTGAAGTTTCTTTAACAATAAAAAGTTTAAATACTGAAGATTCTGGAACCTATTATTGTGCAGGTTGGCAGTATGATCGTCACACTGAAAGAAAATCTATTACTACAATGTACAAAAACAACATTTTCCGTTTGAAATATTTAACATAAAACTATTTTATCAAATAAATTAAGACTATGACCACATGAAAAGGGCTTCCGGTATTTAAATAAAACAACACCTGTCATCTCCTCTGCAGTCCCAGTAATTAAATGTACAGTTTTATATTGCACAACAAAGTACTAAAAACTTTGAAAATCAAGGGATTATTCAGTAAATAGGGAACTGTGGAAAACTGACATACACACTCCTTTGTGGTTCAAATGGGGTTGGTTTCTTCCACATGGATAAAAAAAAATGTTCAGTGAACCTGGTGCACAAATATCTTAAAAATCTACAAAATACATAGAAAAAAAACCTTTCATTTGTATGTATGGTATTTTGTGCATTTTTGAGGCTTTTTAAACGTTAAAGAATATTAATACATTTGGTTTTCATTTGGTATTAGAAAAATTTTGTGCAGCAATTTCACATTACGTTTAACAATTATCAATGGAAATGAAATGTCAAGAGAGCATTTGAGAGTTGGATAATTTCGGCAGTTATTTTGGCTTGATATATGTAATTATTATTTCTTAATGTCTCCCTGTTAACGTTTGCAGGCACTATCATGTGTCTTGATTCCATTCTACTGGCAAAACCCAGTTGAACATTATTGGTTGGATTTGGCAGTTATTTATTTCGAATTTGGACTGGATTTAATGTCAGCTGATAAACAGACTGACTTCCCAAGAAATATTGACTCATAAATGTGATTCATTAAGCACATCCTTTTTTAATAACTAATCCTGTTAGTCATTAAAAAAGAAATTAAATAAAAGTTTGAGGGACAAAATATGACCACAACAGTGAAACAAGAAAGGTTTAACATGTCCCGCATGTGCCCACTTGCCATCCTATGACTTGGAGGCATGTCCACAAAACAATTAGTAGCCAGTTGCTGATGGCTGTAATAAGAGACTAGTATTGGGCAGTAATAGACAAATTTTCCATAAGTCTCAAGATAAACTGCATAGTGTTGGAAAGCCTTTATAATGGATTTTCGCGATATGGAACCTGAGTCTTTGCAGAGTCCACAGTAAGGAAAGTTGGATTATTTTTGTTGTTTTTTGGGATTTTTAAATTTTATTAAAAAAATTTATTTTTGTCATGCATGTGATTACAGATATACTTGCGATACCACAACAGTATTGGCAAGCAATTTCAATTATGTAGCAGAGATAACTTTGACATGGTATATGAGGTAACTGCACAGTAATTTTTTGTTTTTTTAGAGTAAATTCACGCTTGTCAATAAGCAGATTAGTTAATATATCAATATGGAGTCGGGAAATATCAGTCTGGCTAAAATAATTGACAGTGCTTCAGTAGAATAAAACACGGCGTAGCAGTTCACAGGCTAATCCTACTTGTCTAGGGTGAAGTCGCTTGAGTATAGGTAGAAGCAGGCAGATTACACATAAAATCCTACAGGCGTTACTTAATAGGCATTCGTATGGCAGTGCTGTACTAAGCAGGATACTTATATTTTCAGTTGATGCACTAACGTGTCAATTAAAATGTAAAAAAAAAATGCTGAACTGAATAAACGACAGGGAACTGGTTTCTACAGGGTGCTCATACCCTGAGGGTAAGGGGGGACCACTGGTATCACTCTCAGGCATTGAGGGACATGCGGATACATGTGGGTAAGAATGGCAAATTTTTGTGCCTATCACTTTCACCTCTGACATGGCTGCTATTCACCCAACTCCTGTGCTGGCTACCAGAGTCACATTTGTAGGTAATGTTCCATGTATCCAGGGTTGCTCGCCCTGCCGGCCCAGAACCTTCTCAAGCACCCATGTGCAGTTCCCACCACTCCGGTCTGTCTTGCCACCGTGAGCATGATCTCTGGAGAGACTAATGAAAGTATTTAGAAAATTGGGCAGACTAGATGGGCCGAATGGTTCTTATCTGCCGTCACATTCTATGTTTCTATGTTTCTATGTTTCTCTGTGGGTTATTATATCTTGGTCAAACTACACAAAATTTCAAGGAGAGATTTTCTAAACGTAAATATACCATATGGACAGGTATGATAGATTTACCATTACAAGAGACACAATATCTCACAATGAAAATTCCAAATTATTGACCATGTCCCCAAAACAATTAAAGGACCACTATAGGCACCCAGACCACTTCAGCTTAATGAGGTGGTCTGGGTGCCTGGTCCAGCTAGGTTTAACACTTTTTTCTATAAACATAGCAGTTTCAGGGAATGTTTATAAATGGGTTAATCCAGCCTCTACTGGCTGTCTCATTGACAGCCGCTAGAGGGCTTCCGTGCTTCTCACTGTGATTTTCACAGTGAGAAGATGCCAGCGTCCATAGGAAAGCATTGTGAGCTGAAGAGGAGGAGAGGAGGAGGAGAGCTCCCCACCCAGCGCTGGAGAAAGAGGTAAGTTTAACCCCTTCCTCTCCATCCAGCCCGGCGGGAGGGGGACCCTGAGGGTGGGGGCACCCTCAGGGCACTATAGTGCCAGGAAAACAAGTATGTTTTCCTGGCACTATA